AGAGAGAGAGAGAGAGAGAGAGAGAGAGAGAGAGAGAGAGAGAGAGAGAGAGAGAGAGAGAGAGAGAGAGAGCTGCTTGCTTATATTTTTTGCTGACGGTAGTACACAATCTGTGGGTGGCGTACTCTCTCCTGATGGATTGTTTTTAAGACAATAAAAATAACGACAGGTAATCCCGGAAGGGCATGGGGGTTGAGAAGTGGGCAAATCTACCCAAATGTAACAAGGTATTCTAAAGCTGATTCTGAGCCCCAGCCTCAATACTTCAGGGCACTTGCCAGTGTTGCCACCGAAACAATTGATGATGGATCTTCAAAGAATATGGGAAGATCTGTTATTTATTATTGAAAGAGGAAGTACAGAAAGCATTGGTAACCTCAATACAACTCTGGTTGGCATTGAAATGAACAATGATCACATCTAATCTCTATTGACTGTCCACAGTTTGAGAACGCCGGTCTATTACCTGACCTGCATTGCCAACAATGGTGACTGAAGACCCCACCATGTGCCCCGCCCTTTTACACAATGAAGTGCACACCCCTCTCCCACCCGTTCTTCTATTGGTTTCAACTTTCAAGTGGTGCACTCTACGAGTGCAACACACATGGACACAGGTTATCTGTATAAAAGCAGAGGAGTCCCTTGAGCTTGAAAAAGGGAATTATTGTTGACAAACTAAGTTAACTAACCACACAGCATTTTTTGACGAAGAAGGGGTACGGTCTACCCCGTAGACCCTGCTACTATTGCCCATCAGGACATGAACACATGACCTCCTTACTAACATGTACGTGCGTGCACCATTCAGCCATTTGGGCCAGGTTACCTCATTTCTTCTTTCACCGTCGTCTTCTTTTTAAATCACCTTGTGGCCGTGGCCTATTGCACTAAGGTGGCCAGGTTTGCTTTGCTGATCGCTGGGTTCAATCAATGTGTTATGATTCTGGTTGTCTGTTGTCTGAAGACCAACACTCACTCACATAGACTTCCAGATATGCCCATACATACACAGAAGGAAGGGGAGAGGATAGGAGTATCACACCGCACAGGGCACAGGGAGAGAGAAACACAGCGGAAGACTTGACCATGCGATATGACAGGGTACACTGAAAGTGCAGTTCAGTCCACTCAATCCTCACAACCAGTCATAAAGGAAAGCCGAGTAGATCACATCCAAGAAACAATGAAACGATGATAGTCTGGACACAGTATCAACACTGTTCAGTAAACTCAGAGTCTTGAATTGTCAGAATAACCCCAGTATTATGGTGCACTGCTCAGAAATGAGCAGCGCTTCACTCCCCAACCCCGATGAACCGCTATCACCACCCCTGAGTCCCTGAAACATCAAGTGCCACCCATGTACAGCCTCGAGAGGGAAGCGCCACCCTGAAACAGGCCTCTGAGGCCAAGCGCCACTCAGAGGATGAAGAAGAAGACCAGCGCCACAGTATCTGATGATGACGAAGTGTCGGAAGACTTCCCGGGTGGAAGTCTCCAGCAGCGCCACCACTCCTGACAAGATGACCTCTGAGGAAGAAGCTGCAGCTATGGCTGCAGCACCACAACCCTGTAACCCTACTCCGGAGGAGGGTCCAGCAGGACAAACCTTCTCTCGCCTCCAGCAGACCTCAAGTAGCCCAGACCTCTGTACAGCCCCGCGTGCTGACAGATTACAGCACAGGTCCCAGCTATGGTCGGCGCTCCGAAGGTCTGGCTATGTCTGTCTCCCTCCACGCTGAGCCGTCACCACTTCCGGTTCACGCGTAGCACAGCCGCGATGTACTCGGTACCAACTGCCCAAAAGCCCTGAACCGATGTCTACAATCTATTCATAACCTACACTAGCCTAGACACGACCTAGACCAGACTGAGTGGACTGACCGGTACCATTTCAGTTTCGGCCACTCGGCCTCTACCTAACCGGCTGTAGGATATAGGACCGTCTATCAGCGTAGGCCTTTACAGCCTGTTCGTCCTAGTGGTAGCCCGGGCCTGCTATTCGCATTTAGGGTAGCTGTAGGAAATTCTAGTTAATGCGGGCCTATATTTTCCCGAATTTGCAGATATGTCCCTCATGAATTTTCCTTACAGGCTGATATCCCGGTTAGTACCCAGCAGCGACCAGACCAAGGCAAGCCCCGAGCTTCGCCCTCGGCCCAATGTACAGTCCACTGAGAATCTGCGGGCTTCATTACAAATGCATAACCTGGACACTCTAGTACTCCTTCACCCCTCCATCCATCTTAGCCATCCTCCTGCCTTTGTATGTCATAACTTTTCGTTCCTCGATGATTGCCCTGCCATGTCTGTCTGTCATAAGTTATAGGGCTATCTGAGTCGTATCCACATCCAGGGCAACTACAGCATTTTTCCTAAAGGCATCATAAGCTTGAAAGTTGAAATACAGACCTTGAGATTGTCCAGGCATCACCAGGTTCAGCACCTGAAAATGTTGCTGAAGAGTATGGACCCCTCCACCTTTTTCAAGGCAGAACAGACTTGTTCTTCTGCTTGGAGTATCTGAATCTATCAAACAAACAATCGGCGAGCGTGTCTCACCAGCAGAGTGGGCCTTGTGGGATTCAGACATGAAGTGTCTGCTCTTCGAGGCCAGGTCTTTGAGCTTGAATGGAAAAGTCAAATCCACAGCCTTACCACCAAACTCGTATTAGAAACTCTTTTCTTCAGTGCTGATAGAGAAACATCACTGTCTGGCTGGTATCTACACTTGTAAACTACTGCATCATTATAATGGCCCTTGGGCGATTCCATCGACTCTCTCTCTCTCTCTCTCTCTCTCTCTCTCTCTCTCTCTCTCTCTCTCTCTCTCTCTCTCTCTCTCTCTCTCTCTCTCTCTCTCTCTCTCTCTCTCTCTCTCCCTTGAGCTGAGTTCTTCGGGACATCCTTTAAAATTGGAACGACACAGAGAAGATTAATATGGCCTCTACGCGAGGATGACACGCATGAATAGAGAAATGGTCCAAAGACTCCAAACTTAAAAAAAAAGAAAAAGAAAAAAAACGAGAGAGAGAACGGAAGCTGCGCAGTACAAGCACACCCTACGGTCATGCAGCAGGAGCCAACAGCCGATGGACCATGGGTCAGATATTAAACTGATCAGAACAGATATTATACTTGATCTTAGCCAAAAGGCCCAGAAAGGTATTGGTGTTTGACCTACAGAGGCCTCTAAGTATTGGTGTGCTTTGGAAGGAGAGAAAAATTCAGGATGGACTCATACGTCCCAATTTCAGGCTACTTCAGTCATTCTGTTAAAGGTTGATGTTCTTTGAAAGGAGGGAAGAATTCAGGATCGACTCGCACTTTGAAAAGAGTGCTGTTCTCTGTCAGTTGCACGTTCTTGGACAAGCCTTTCCTTCGGAGATTATTGAAAGTTGAGCTTCACAGTCTAATGGTTAAAGAGACTCGGAGGACTCCACGTAGGAAAAGGCTTTCAGACAGTCAATCGTCTTGGACAAGGAGTAATCGATCTTGTTCGTGGTTCCTTTGGCATAGACAGAAGGAAGCGTCAGTCAGTCTCTAATACTCTCTATGTATCGGTATAGACTTGCCGGTAGAAAGGGAACTGGAGTGACGCTCCGCAGAACAGATATTGGGCCAGGCCCACAACGTCCAGTTTTGTTTCGAAAACATAAAAATAATTCGAGTAGATAAATGAATAAATCCAGATTCCAGGCCCTTCAGGCACATTTCTCAGTTTTTGTGATGGTGAATCGATGATAGGATATGTCCTCAGCTTCGACTTGAGGGCTTGGCCAATGGCCTTCAAACTTCAAACTCGCTCACAGCTCAGAGCACGTGCTGGCAATATCTTGTGGACAGGTGACCTATGTTGGCCAGCAGGACGAGAGCATCACCTCAGTGCTCTTCATTTTCATGCGCTTTGCTCTTGACCACTCCACTGGAGGCTCAAGGTGCAGTTAATCACATTTGCCCACATGAGAATGGACCAGAGGCTGCACACTTTCAGGCACAAGAGCGCAAGCCCATGATGTCTACATTGGCTGTGTGGGCATGGTCCTGGAGGGCAGGTGCTCTAGCAGCCACCAGAGCTGCACTGGACACTAGCTGCTGTCAGCCGCACAACCACCACCTGCAATTGCAGGAGGAGGTATGTGGGACGGGACTACTGTCTTCCCCCACACACGGCACACACTCATTATGGCTGTACAGGAGTGGAAAGATACCTTGTCAGGGTGTGTTATGTTTGGGGGAAGACGGTACGACGTGTCAACTTGCAAAGGTTGCCTTGGCTTCCCATCACTTATACCAAGTCCTGTGAATAAGCACGAGGGACAAGAAAAGAAGCAGTGGAGCATCAGCAGGGAGCTCTATAGATTCATAGACTGTTGAGAGTGCAGCCTTTCGATGAGTCCGTGAAAGTACGAGGAAACAGTCAGTCACAGCTCCCTGTTTCTTGTCGCTTTTCCCCTTTCTGCCTACGGGTCCAACACGTGGTAGTTTTCTGTGACAACATTCTGTGAAATATCTATCAGTAGAAGAGTGTACTTCACGAAACAAATGTACAAAGAAGCAGACAGCATGGCGCACACTGCAATGTTGTTTTTGCCCTTTTCTGTGCCGTCTTTTTGCTTCCTTGAAGTTCTCTTCTTTTCGTCCTTTTTTCACGGTTCCTATTTCATTTCTTCTTCAGCTTTCACTTTCTTACTGTGCCTCTCAAGTGCAAGGTGCGTCATGTTTGCGTGATTGAGCACGAAGTGCCCACTCACCCATCTGCCAAAACGGCACCCTTGCAAACTGTTAAACACGGGTGATGAAGGGGAGACAGGTAAGCAGCAACAGACGGCAAGGGAAATAACGGACGAGTTATATGGAAGAGCAACGAGAGAGAAAGGAAGATTCAGGAGTGAGTCAGGGCTAAGATGGATGATGACATGGAAGACCAAGAAGAGAATTCTCAGCACAGCAGCTGCCTCAACGGCTGTCATTAACCATGCCCACAAGACACTCTTCAATCGCATGCCAGGAGGAACGAAGAACAGGCATTGCACAGGAGCATGCATTCATTAGTGTCCCTGGCTGTGATATGAACATATGATGTCCAGTTGTGAGCACAGTCAGGAAAGCACGCCCATCTCTCTGCTCATCCGACTCCATGAACAATGCCACTCTAATGATTCTGCCAGAGACGTGGTACCTGCAGCTGAGTAAAAGGATCTGCAGCCCCTTGGAGGACGAGATAGCAGATTGTTGAAACATTGCCCTGCCCCTTCACAGGGGGATTCTTGTCAATTTCTTGACATAAAAAGTGTGTGTACGGTTCCCTGAAGTGTTAAACATCGTTCTTGCAGTGCAAATTGCCAACATGAATCATGGCATGAACCATGATGTCATTGTCCCACAGTTCCAGTGGTCAGAGGCATGCGCAATGGCCAGGTGGTGGTGGCCACATCCATGAGCAATGCAGGCAAAGACGTGAGACGGAGTGTTCGAAGCACTCACCGGGCAGAGCATGGTGCAGTTCAAGTTGGCGGTGCCTCATTGCAACTTGCAGGACCTCAATTGTAAAGCCTCCTTCCCTGGTATGGTTACTGCCTTCTGCCTCTAGGCAGGGAAGATCAGCATCACGCTGAAGGGCAAAGTCAGATGCCGTGTGAAGTGGATGGCGGTCGGCATACAGAGGCATTTGAAGCAGCCAGACCACAGAGATTAGGGGGATCGTCAACGAAACCTGAGGAACAGGGATCACAGAGATGTCCCTCGTTGCCATGAGCAGGCGCGATTGTCGGACCCTGGTCATCAATTTGCAAGTTACCTAAGTGATGTTTCAAGCGGAAATGTTATTGGCTATGTACTGTGCCGCGACTTTCTGATCACTCATGTGATCTGTCCTGCATTGCGATTGATGGACGTAGTGCATCCAGTGTGAGTGGGAATATCCGGTCAAGCCAGATTCATCTTGAAGCATTGATAGCAAGAGCTACAAATTGTCAAGGGTTCAGCCTCTTGGTGAGTCGCTGACAGTCCGATAAAACAGTCCGTCACAGCCCCTCCTTTTCTGTCCTTTTCCCCCTTTCTGTCCACAGGTTCTCTGTGTCAGTAGATATACACGACTTTGCTAGCTCCCTGCAATGGTCCACCAGTCAGGTTTTGAACAGCCGTGGTGAGAGCCATTTTCCTGTGTGTTTTGCCTTGGCTGTGTTGTATGTCTGGACTCTAGAGTGTTGGGGACTTTTCTGGCTGCTTAGTGTGGTGTGAACAAACACACTGTGCTGTGTTTCGGGTGTGGGTGTGCATGCAGATTATCACTTAACGCATCTGCTCCAGTTTACCTTTCTGATGGGTTGGGGTAAGTCTGAAAACAGTTCGTCACAAGCCCCCATTTTTGTCCTTGTCCCTCTTTCTGCCGACTCTTCACTGGGTAGATCTCTATGATAATTCACTGTCAGTTTGTCACACATCTATCAACTACAAGAGCGCATCTCATGAGACAGATGAAGAACGGAGCCGGTCCGGTCAACACACACTGAAACCAGCCTTTTTCAAGTTTTTCTGCTGTGTTTTCTCCTTTAGTTTCTTCCTCTTGGCTTGTACATACGCGTACCCTCGTACATTCATGGATTAGAAAGGGTACAGCAAAGTGGAGAAAACTCAAAAAAGTGGTATGAGTTTCATTTAGTGTCCAATACGCTCCTCTCAGTCTCTTGGTTCAGTGTTTGAAAGCAATCAACACGTTCCGACTGTACTTCACCACTGACATTCCTGGTTTCCGCTATTTATGGGATGATGAGACTTTGCCAACAGCCAAAGTTAAACAGAGAGATTTTCCTCAGGGCTCAGTGCACTGAGGGCAAGGTCCCAATGCAATGGACAGAAGTCTACGCGCACACCAGCTTTTGTGCGTTTGGTGCCAATCAACAGACCCTGAGCACCTCAAAAAACACTCTCCCGACAGATACATAACACATTTACTGGATGGACTAACAATCAAATTAAATAAATTGGCATCAATGCCACTGAATTATTGAATGATGCAAGAAATACTTGCCCACCCGTGAATCCATAGGCACCCATCATAACCACTTGCACCCTCCCATATCGCTTCATCGTCCCCTTCCCTTCCCCAATTTGCAAACACTTTCCAGTGTTTTCACTTTCTCTTTCTGGGATAATAGAAAAGCGCACATAGTGTAAGACCGCAAGCAATACTGATGGCATGGAGTGTGCCACACTATTTTTCACACAGAGCGAAAGCATGAGCAAGCATGCCCCAAGACGATAAACATACCTGCATACTCTGGCTGCGAGCAAATCATGAACAACTGCTAAGCAATGGGAGTGTGCTGCTTCTGAGGGGCACATCGCAGCAAGCCTAGAGCATGGAATCCCGTTCCTTGAGCACCAAGGAGACAGTAAGATAATTGATGCTGCGGGCATTGCTGCATACTTGCTGCAGAGATCATAGCTGCCACTGCCGCCACTGCAACCATTCAGCTGCTTTATTGCAGCCGGTGCGAACCTCATGCTGCTGCATGCTCGCCGCCTGAAGTCTTAATGGAGCGCAACTGTCCTGATTCGAAGTTGGAACCATGAGTCAGATATTTCCCAGTCAGATTGTGCATATGTGCATGACATTTGAAAAACTTTCAGCTTCTGTGCACATCTATCAAGAACTGTTTGAATAGATGAGAGTTGTTCTCAAAGACACTAATGTGCACAATTGTCAAACTCTGTCCCTGTACGCTTTTCTGGAGGCCACAATACCTCAAAAGTCAACACCCAACAGCAGCAACAAGGCGGAAAGATCTGTTCTTTATGAGAAAGTAATTCTCCAGTACCAGTGAAAGGCTGGGCACAATAGAGGGTGAAATGCCGGATAAGAAACGGGAGATCAATGATCATTAAAAAAAATCACTACCCTGAAGCTAGGCAGCGGAAAACTGGCCACAATAGAGGGTGAAAGGGTGGTCCTAATTTCCTAAAGGACTACCTAACTCTACCTGCGCAAAATAACCAGAGCTTAATTAACCTCCCAATGGCAGCTCAGACCACACAGTCGAAACGCCCTGAACTGAACCAGGCGACAGATCAGATACGACATCGTGAACCCAGCAGCAAGAACACTTCGGAACTCCCAATACTACACGGCACCTGAATCCCTTGGGCCCAACGCCGCGTTCCGCTCACTCTTCTAACTTCCAGTCGAAATGTCCCACCAGTAGACTAACGCAGCCCAGAACAGCGCTGGTACCCTAAGCCCTAAACCCTAATAAACCCTATCCCCTGTCCTAAACCACTGGCTTTTCTATTCCCCAAGTTCACCCAAGCACCCATCTCAGACATCCTCTCTCCTAAGCCCCCAAACCAACCCTATCCCCACAGCCCTCTTCACAAGGAGCCTCACCAGGATCCCATCTTATACCATAGCATTAGAAACAGAAACAAATTAGCATCAGATGATCAGAAAGACAGCAAATTTCAACAGGCCACAACATACACAAGACTGGATTTAAGCAAGGCTGTAGAAAATCAAGCCCAACTGACAGCGTATTAGCTGAGAGGAGCAGTCAAACCCGGTCTAGAGTCAGCTCGGGATTAGAAGCAATTGTGTTAATGGGCAAGCATAACAGAAACTTTAGATCAATAAAAGATAACTTAGGCAGGGGTGAGGTGGGGTACATCCTTCCTGTCGGAAGCAATCGATGTCGCCCTTCAGGTCTCCCAACCAGAACGTGGAGAACCGTACAACTGTGTCATCCTTGTAATCATTTGACTTGCCGGTGGAAAAGGAACCGGACTTACGCTCCCCAGAATGGATATGGAGCCAGAACCTTAAGGTTCTGTTTAAAATAAATAAATAAATAATTTTATAGTAACAGTCTTTTTATTCTTTTTATTTTTTTCACACACATGGCCCCATCTATTCTGGGGGCATCGGTCCAGTGCGAGGAATGAGCCCTCGCAGGGCCTTTATCAGACATGCACATGTTCTGGGCTGTGGCCCCCTCAGCAAGCCCTGTGCCCGCCCTAAGTGAAGGCGGGCCTGAATATCCACGAGAGGCCCTTATCTCAACATTTTCCAATGTGGGTATCCGATAGTTGCAGCACACCAGTTGGTTGAAGTGCAACGTAGGCCTCTCCCTGGCTCCTTCCAGAAACAGCAGCTGCGTCAAGCAGTTGAGCCCAGGACGCAGGCGGTTGCGCCCTGGGCACACGCAATGTGAGGCTGACACATCACGAAGTGGCCGCCGGCCAATGAGAATGCAACGTTTTCGTCACACAGGCACCGCGGGCCAATACGAACATGGCAAACACTTTGAGCCTGGAGGATACCTGAAGGTGCCCAACCAAAAGGGGCCCAGGCCCTTAACTGTAGAGGTGGGCCTGGCCGAAAGTTTCCAGTAGCTTCTGGCAGGGCCCCAGTGTCTGCGCCCAGGCCCACCTCTACAGTTAAGGGCCTGGGCATCTTTTGGTTATTTCCAACTCGGATAGTTTTCCAGATGCCTGCGACACTCGCAATTATTGTTTTTTTTCCAAGTAAGGAGGCCACAGCGAGCTACGTACCGGAAACCGAGAGGCAAGGAATAGGGTTTAACCGAGTCGAACCTATGGTTTTCGACCCGGTCGAAGTATTTCCGCAAGGGAGAGAGTTAAGAGCGGACCACAGCTCAGCAAGAAATCCGCCACGAACCTACCTCTTATTAACCTCGACATTCGCACAAGTCTTTGAGGTTAGTTTAAGTCGAGCTCGGCGACTCGGGCGGTACGATCTCCATGCCATTTACAGGTTCGAGGACGACGAGCTATGATCGCAATTTGACATTGACATCCGATAGATTTACCTTAGGCTTGTTCTGCACTACCACACTCGTGCGGGGCCATTTGAAAACATTGAGTTTTTCAAACAGATCCGGGCTAATCGCTTCGAGCAGGTGGGCAGTCACGTGTGCGCGAGAACAGTGTACCAAAATGAAGTTCGGAATCTTCGGCGACTCATCGATGCTTCATGTGGATCGTTTTTTGTGGACAGATGGCCGACAATCAATGGGATCTTACCCAGGCGAGATATTTGTTGGTGCGTGACACTGTGGACGAGGAGTTGATCCGGCGAGCGGAGCGACTTCTATTAGTTCGTGACGACACACCGATTCTTTGGATTGGGTTTATTGGCTTGCTTAGAAATGGGCAAGGATTTTTTTCGAACTCGCGCGCGGACGTTCTTGCCAATGTGGTGTGGCTTCCGAATGAATTTCATGGATATACTTTGGTTTCCCACAGCGCGAGTAACCTCCAATGCCTTTCTCAAGTCATTGTGAGCGTTAAGATTACCTCATCCGGGGATCACTATGGCATCATCCGGATTAGGGACACTACGACGGGAAACCTTTTTCGGATGCGTCAGCCTTTTCGCGCCATAGTATGGAGGCTGGCCTCTCGGATGGCCTCCCTCTATGGCTTGCAAATGGTTCGAGTTGTGCAAGGGACTCGCGTCACTACTTTGATATTTAGTGACGAGGAACCTGCACGACTCGACCAGATCGAGGTTGAGGCCTGAGAGGGCCGACAGCTGTACCACGGCTAAATCTCACTTTAAGTTCGATGGAAGATTCGTGACTCAGGCTCCGACAGAATAGTGCATCCTAGCGCGCAGTAAATAGGGATTTAACCTTTTCTTCGCTCGTTTCCTCCTTTCGCAAATTTGGTTGATGCCTCCTTGTCTTTCTGGGTGGTAACTCCATTGTGCCGACTATTGTGATTTGGTGCTCTCTTTTTTCCCTTTGCTATCGGTCTTGCTGTTCTGATAGTAGCAACATGGAAGTGGAAAATGTCGTCGCTACCAACGATCGGGGACCTCATTCCCCTTCTTCAGACCCAAGTCTGGATCGAGAAGATGAACAACATGCTTGAGAACTTATCTGTCTCTGTTATGAAGAGGGTATTCTCCCAACTGATATTGACCCGTGCGAAATGGAGATCGAGGGTAGATAAGTTCGCTTCAGAGTAAACTCCTCGATCGACCGAACCAAGATCAACTAGCTAAAAGAACGAGTAGTCGGGAAGGTGCTCGTTTCCTCCTGAAGAAACTCAAGGATGACATTATGAGGGCCTATGCGGATAGTAAACTTCAGGAGGGGAGCTTTGACTAGAGTTTTTTAGTCGAGGAAGAGTCAAGGTTGAAAGCCCCAATGTCGTTTGATACTTCGCAGAGAGTAGGGCAATTGCCTCTTGGATGGTTACTAAAGGGCATGACTCGATTACCTTGGGACCTACGAAATATAGGCTTGAATTCAAGCCATGGCTGACTAAGGCTCAATTGAGGGACCAAAGGAGGGAAGAGGAATAGGCGTCCTTTTGGGTCGTGGTTGTTCAAGTCCCCCTTGACTCCGTTTACTTAGAAGCACAAATTTGCAAGGCCATCGGCCCTGTCATTAGAACCCATCCTGTTGAGTCAAACCATCAGAAGTCATCTCTAATTAATGTCAAATTTGACTTAGACCCAGTAGCCAAAGCCAACATGAAGGACAAGATTACCGTGATTACAGCAGAAGGGGATGAACTCTCAATTAACCTCGCCTGCTCAAAGACTCTAAGATGTCGCAGTTGCAGAGCGTTCTTCCATGAAGAAGCGTAGTGCAGGTGCGCAGCTCGCCAATGACAATACCCAAACATTTAGCAAGCGTCAGGCCTTGCTCCAAGCAACTCTCAAGCGGTGGCCTCTGTATCATTATACCAAGGCCCAATCGGCCTGAGAGCTTCGTAGATCTTCCAAGATGCCAGCACAGGAGACCCGACTCTGGGCCAACAAGGTTTCCAACCTTACCAGCGCACACAACTCCATCCGGCCTTCTCTTCGTTTCCCTCGCCCCCCACGGTGGCGCTCTCCCTCAACAAGCAGCTTTTCAAATGCAAGGCATGCCGCCATGGCTTGCTCAGGCCTAGACGCCATGGCTTCAACATCAACTTCATGTTCTTGGCGGTTGGGCCATCCAGATATTTTGGTATGCCAGCAGGCTTCCTTGGCTCCCCCAATCCTCCTCCTCGGAGAGTACCATCTCGGGAAGTGATCACAGGTGCCTCTGGCACCCCTCTTCAGGATGCTCACGAAGGTGCTCACGCAACACCCGAAGATGGAGCGACAAGTGCAGCACATGCTGCCAACGGTGGCATCAGTCCCGACCGCGCTCCTCTGCTTTGGGAAAACAGCGAAGGCTAAGCTATGATTCATCTACAGGTCTGGGCACAAATGGTGAGAAATCTGACTCGTCTTTTCCACTGTCGGAGGACTTACAAAACCAGTTCGTGGATGTTGGAACTCCTGGCTGCAAGACTACAAGCAAAAGGACTTTTGTCGCCTTGGCACGAGGACGGA